TCAAGATGATAACTTTTGTACCAACTATGCCTTGTAAGGTATCTGAAAACTCATAATCTGCTGATCATTATTCTTCTTATAAAATATGTGTGGCAACACTGTATGTAAAGCTATAAGATTCTACTGTATGAGATTAAGACATATTCCAAATCTGGGGAAGCAGCCACAAACCAGTTCCTCAACGACAAAACGCAAACTGACCCCTCAGCCAGGTGTCAACAAAAATCAAACGGACGATCACCTGTGTAAGTGGCCATTCTTTGGCTGGAAAAAGGGTGAGTGAGAAATTTACATTTTGGCAAAGAAACAGCTGGAGTTTCCCATTCCCACAGACTGTCGTCTCCTGAACCCCTGCTGGAGATAATTCTCAAAGAAGAAGAAAAAGTATAAAGAATGGGAAACAGACACCGCAAATCACCTCTCCCTTCATCTCTACTCATGGCATCGACAACACTTGAAGGACAAGGACGCATCACTGGTCTGGGGAGGGATCCTGGCAGATAGGAATTCAGCCAGTAAGACTGCCAGAACACGAGAGAGACTTTTGCTTTGAATTCACTTAGCTTGTTAAGTTAGGTGTGAGTAGCGTTTTACCTCTTATTTCTTTGTAACCAATGCTGATTTTTATGCCTCTTATACTTATAAAGTATAAGATTTATACTTATAATCACTTAAATCTATCTTTCTGTAGTTAATAAACTTTTTTTATTGTTTTATCTAAACCAGTGTGCTTGGATTGAAGTGTTTGGGAAACTCCACTTGAGATAACAGGTTTTGTGCATATAATTTTCTACTAATGAAAGGATGCACTTTATATGAGCTTATGTTGCCCAGGAGATGGCTGGGCAGTACAAGACATATCTGCAGTGTAATTAAAGAGTGGCTGGCTATAGCACTCGTACTGTATAGTTGGGAATAATTTACCTGCTGGAGGCTGAGAGCGCGCAGGCCAGGAACTGGTTGCTCTCACAGCGAAGCAGCGTAAAAGGCACTCCAGGTTGGAGAATGAAGGGGACACAGCTGTTCAACAGTCCAGATTGTACCCTTAGTACGTCACACCCACTAACCCCATTTTTTTTGTCCTATGGCTGCAGAGGCGTTAACTGGCTACTTCACCTTGAATGGTCTTTTACAATGTGTTAACTACTTATGCTGAACAACCTGTTCCACCTTGTATTTAGCTGTGACACTGAGGGCTAGTCTACACTGGCTTGTGTAGTTGTGGCAGAGCGCTGGGAGAGAGCTCTCCCAGCACTCTAAAAAACCACCTCCACGAGAGGCGTAGCTCCGAGTGCTGGTGCACTGTCTACACTGGCACGTTACAGCGCTGAAACTTGCTGCGCTCAGGGGGGTGTTTTTTCACTCCCCTAAGTGAGAAAGTTGCAGCGCTGTAACGTGCCAGTGTAGACAAGCCCTGAGTACCTTCCCCTGACCTGAAGAAGAGCTCTGTGTAGCTTGAAAGCTTGTCTCTCTCCCCAACAGAGGATGATGAATGGGAAGTAGCAAGCCATCACACAAAATGTAAGGAGGGAAAGAGATGTGGCATTAGGCAGCAAGGTGACAGACAGTCCACGCATGGAGTTCTGACTACCCTTTGAACTATTAGGGACTATTTGTATTGAAATATCAATCTGGCTGCTCAGCCTATCTGCTTTTAGGTCTGTTTTTTCCTCCCTTTTACAGTATTTATTCAAAATTAGTAACAATGCTAGACTTATTATTTATGCAGGATATTATCAAAACAATAATTTAACCATAAATGCCTTTATTAAATCCAAAGGCCTAGCGGTATTTGTACAATTGCTCTAAATATGCCTAAAGAGCCTACATAAGGAATTTACTATATCCAGACAGTAACAAAACCTTTATAAGCTTTTGATCAAGATACTTACGAATGGAATAAACCCAGAGGTGTTTAGACACATATTGGTCGGCTCCAGCATGGTCAGGCAGGTGTTAGCAATGAACCTTTTAAGAGTTTACTTTTTTATATCTTTTAACGAACAAGTGATGCCATTGCCGATTACCGACTTCAGCTAAAACCAATTGGAGACAGTTCACTCTTATTTCCAGTCTTCATCCAGATAAGATTTACAAATGCCTTTCCCCCCCTATCTCTTTTCCCCTCCTTCTTGCTGACCAACAGTTTTTCCTTTCCACCTAGGTTCACACCGGCCCTAATTTTTGAGATAACACTGGTATATGAGGTGGGAAGGGCCATGCTGACTCTTTTGAAGACAGATTCTGTCTTATTTAAAACCAACTGCAGTCATCCCTATCAGAGGCCTTCTTTTCAGAAACATCCTGATTTCATTAGTTATTCTTTGAACCAGACATCCTCCCTACTTCATTTCTTCTAGCTCTGCAAGTCATTACTTTCAAAGCCTTTATTTTACTCGCTAGTTAGGGCCTTTCTTTACAACATGTATTTCTTTAACCTAACTTAGGCTAACTTTAATGATCTGATTTTATATTTAGTCTACAATCAGCTTTGTGCCTGTCCAAGAGATAAAGCTTCTGAGTGTAATTTGGTACTCCTCATCCTTCCCACCCCACCCTTACGTTATATAAGACACTGTCGTACACCACCATCTCACTGATAGGATCCTTAACATAGTGGTGAAAATGAAAGGGCTAATCTTGCTGCTCTGAACTCTAATAGGATTATCTTTTCTTTTTCTCCTTTTGGGGACAAAGATTGTTGGGATGTGAGGTGATCCATGAGAGCTCCATGTTGTAGGCCATTGACCATTATAATTATTTAGTAGGTAAGACTGAGACTGATCAATGCTGTATGAACTAGGAATTTGGATTCCTTAAATCACCAACTGAAGACCATTGGTTTGGAACCTGAATTTTTTGGTTCCTTGTTTCGTTTGGTTCATGTTCTCAATAAGAACCAATGGAGATCTCTCTTATATGCAGCTGCTTTATTAGCCAATGCTTTTACATCTATCCCACCAAGAAGCCATTTTCCTTTGAATCTGGAGGAACACAGGATCTGTTCTGGACACATCTGCCATTTAGGGATGAGCTAGCTGTGCCATCTGACAGCTGAGCGGAATATCAATCTGAGCAGCAAATCTCATGAGAGCCAGGGATGAATCTATTATAAAGACTGTAGCCTCATGACTGTTGAAATGAACTACTCTCTGCTTGTAAGGTGCAATGACATGAGAGCAACACACCAAGTAAATGAAATTGTGAAAAAGGAAGTTGCTGAAGCTTCAAAATCCATTCTTACAGTGGTCTCCACTTTTTAAGCCACTGAGTGCTTAAAGGAAGATCTCCTCCTCTGCTGGGATAACCTTCTTGTCTAGTGACACTACTTGGACACCTCTTAGGTACACAAAGCAAGGAATGTTTGGGTTCTCATAGCTTGTAGAATTTGAGAGGACTGCTTGCCTCTTCAAATTGTCTAGGTAGTCTTACTTCTAGTAACACCCTTGAAAGAAAAATGGACTGGCAAACTTGAACTGGAATTGACCTGAGAGGGTAGGGATTTTGCCAGGAGATTTGAAGCCCAGCTTTTCAACAGTATTGATGGCATATCTAGATATGGTGATGAAACAATCTAGAGGGAAAATCTTTTCTAATTTCTCTTTGTCAGAGTATTCAGCCCCAGAAGTTGATAAATACGCTCTAATTCAGTGGGAAGTTATGGTTTGATTATTGCATGAAATCTACAGCCTGTGTTATGCAGGTCAGAGTAAATCATAATGATCTCTTCTCCCGAATATTTATCCATATATAACTCACATCCTTCCTCAGAGGAAGAGTTGGACTAAGAGGAGGGAAAGGGACAGTGTTTTGGGGCTTTTTAAAGAGATGTTGTGTCTTCAGTTTGTTTGATTCTTCTTGAACTTAATTTTTTAAAGAAACCTTTGATGTAACATTCTCCCCTCAAAATGTTGCGACTCCTCTGCTGGAAGGGGTTAAAAACTCCTGGTGGGTTGCCGGATGGGTAGGACTTTTCTACCTGGGGCCCTCTCACAGCATTGAAATGGGCCAGTTAACTGCAGATAGGAACGCAAACCACTTGTCAGGCTTAGCAGAAGTGGCATGAAAGAATATAGGAATCTTGCACATCCTTGCAGATATTGTATTCCCCTCTCCCATCCTTACAAGGAACACACACTGGTCAATCTCTTAAAAATTAAGACTGGGGTGATTTATTAATCTTGTTAAGAACTCTGATACAAAGCACAGTAAAAGGCCACAGACCAGTAAATAAAATGTGGCTTTTGGCCACTTTACAAATTCTGCTACAGTACTACCAGTAAAACAGACTCACTCTCACACCAGTTCAAACAACAAGTAGTTCAACTGGCAAAGAAAAGTTCCATTCACTTTTCAGTTTAAAAAGTTTAATAAAGCTTTAAGTGTTTGCTGGTTTAAATGCTACCAATTTCCAAAAGGGAATTTGTAATTAAATGAAGTTAGAGCTAAAGAACATTATTAGGTTTGGAAGGCAAGACTTTGTTCCTAAGCCATAGGAAATGCTTCTGAATGTATAAGATTGCAAGAGTAGCAGACTGTATTACAGGCCTTAAGTCACTTAAATTTATACAGGTTATTAGCATTATCTGTAAATATACAATATAAACAACTGTACATACATGGCATATAGCTTTGTTCTCCAAAACAGTAGGCAACTCTTTAGCTTAAGACACCTTTGCTTGCCAAAACAAAAAGGCACATCTGAACAAGATGCATGCTAAATACTAGGGATTCTTTCCAATAACTGGGTTAGGTAGTCCTAGGTTATACTTTGTCAAAATAATCATAGAATGTCAGGGTTGGAAGGGACCTCAGGAGGTCATCTAGTCCAACCCCCTGCTCAAAGCAGGACCAATCCCCAAGCAGATTTTTGCCCCAAATCCCTAAATGGCCCCCTCAAGGATTGAACTCACAACCCTGGGTTGAGCAGGCCAATGCTCAAACCACTGAGCTATCCCTCCCCCCAAAACTAATAGTGCATTCTGATATCTTCATTTAGATTTTCAACTCATTTTTCTTTTTCCTCTTCAGCAGCAAATGACTGGACATTAAGACATGGCATTAAAAATTTGAGAACAGTAGCTGTCATTCACAAACTTCCCAGATTTACATAAAATTCGAAGGCAAGTAGCCAGAGGTTTAAAATCAGTAACACTATCCATCCTCATGCTTGTGTAGCAATTCCACTGGTTTTTTTTGTTTTTGTTTTTTTTTTTAAATAAAGGCCACTCGTGCTCAAATTTGAAAAATTCCACAAACGCACCTTTTTTTTCCGGCTCAGTGCAATGAACTGATAGTTTAAATTCATGTAGTGTAGTTTACAGTGCAAAATATATAATCTTTATACTGGCATAGCTGTCGGCACTGAGGATCTGAGACAAGGCAATGCTACTGATCACCTGAGGGTAATGCTGTGGGAGTAGACAAAGAGCAGAGAGTTTTTCTAATTTTTAACTTTTTTTTTTTGGATCAGCAGCACTTTTGTAAGAGCATTATTTGTGAAAGTACTAAAATACACTGCCTTTTTTTGAATAAATAAAAAGGAACTTTACAAATACTATTCCAGTGTCAATGACTAATATGGCTACGGTCATTGAGGAGTTTCTGCATTCTCTAGCAAAGACTGTCTGTCCAAAGGAGGGTGGGAAAGCTCCCTTTTGTAAGTCTTTGGTGGCAGTTTTGGTAACTGAGAGCTAGAATTTTGCCTTGGTGGGACTGGGGGAGCTAGAGGATGGGCAAGGTTGTTGTGACTCGAGCTGAGCCCACAGCAGCGACGCAGGACCCTTGGAGAGGGTGTGCTTGGAGGAGTGTTTGGTGAGCTTGGGCATGTGCTGGCTTCCCTGAACCGATCTGGATCTCTGTGAAAGCGTCCCACTGGCGGTGGCTGGAGGTTAAATGGACAGTTTATGAAGTGTTCTGGAGGCCGAAGTGGTACTGGTGGAGGGGTGTCAGGAAGAGGGTCTCTTGGAGGGGGTGGTGGTGGACTATGCAGCAGTTGATCAAATGGATTATTGTAAGCAGGAACTCTAGGTTGTATCTTTGGAGGAGGAGGTTGCCTTGGTGGAATAGCAGGAGGATCATCATCCAATTTTAAACTTCCCTGAAATACAGAAAAAGAAATCACCCAAAGAACCTTTCATTTCTTATAAAGTAATATATTTCCTGACATGCACTGAATGAAGGTGTAGAGTGAAGGTTTCGCTAGTTGAAAAAGTGACAAAGTGTAGCCTTTAACGGGCAACACATCAGGTTGAGAGAACTGATTTTTACAAACCCAGTGGTAAGAGTTTTTCCCTAAGATTAAAATCATTCTAATATGTATACACACCCACAAAATAAAGAGCAATGCATCATAGTGTACTGTGTTCATATAATTTATTTGCAGTTTAATTATGCTACTTCATATTGTACTAGGACTAGTATTGCCGTGTATTTTGTAACAGTAATGAAGTCTTATTAATGTGAAACCTCATTTCAGCTCTCTGCTATTAAGTTTTTGCTAAGAAGTGGGGCAAACAGGGTAAGGCTGTTCTGTGAGATTTATTAGGTTTGAAGATTAACAAATCAGAATTAACAAGATTGCACTACATTAGAACAATGTGCACATGTCAAAGACCAATTGTTTCATAAAGCTTATCAAATCCACCAACACGTTTACTAACAAGATGATTTAACTAACACACACACAATCACCTTAGAGTTAGAAGCATCCTGATCAAACTTTTTGCGTGGAGGAAGTGGAGGAGGAACCAGAGGCTCTTCACTTAGTTTATGTATACTACCACACGAACTGAAGAAAGATTCTAAAAAGAGATAAGGTGAGTTTCAGGTGGTGCACAATACAGTAAAGTCAAACATTCTGAAATTTTTTAGACAAAACTACAAAAAAAACTAACAGATTCTTACAGACACAAGGTGGGTGAAGTAATATCTTTTATTGAACTAACTTCTGTTGGTGAGAGAAGCTGGTCCAAAAAGATATTACCTCACCCACCTTGAGTCTCTAATATCCTGGGACCGACACGGCTACAACAACGCTGCATAAAACAGATTCTTGGTATTCAGTGGCATCCCTAATTGTTCAGCCCAGCTGAAGGAAGTTACATTACCAGCCATTTTTGTAATTATACACTGCATTTCACAAAGCAGACTTCGGTATGAAGTACAATATATAGTCATACGGCAGGTAATAAGCAATATTGAATGCCTCAATTTGACAGTCTTCCTATGCTCTCTGTATTTAGAAAATGAGAAAATGAAGGCCTGATAAGAAAGGATAGTAGACAATGAAACTGTTTCATTTGGAAGCTTTTTCATGAGGAAGAATTCATTGTCTTTAACTGGAAGCATGCAGTGGTGTATGTGGTTTTGGCACATGTTTAAATCAAAAACTGGCATGGAAAACCACCTCCTTCTGTCCAAAAAGCGATTACACGTTCACATTTGGAGTTTACAGGGCTACTTATGGAATGTAATAGCAGTTCTGTTGCAATCCCACAGCAGAAAAAATGGTAGAGCAGACAAAAATAGTACATAAGACTCCAACTGTTACAACTTCTTTCATCCCCTTTAAAAGTTTACAACCTTTTCCCTTTGGAGAAAAAAAAAAGGGGGGGATATTTAAGAGTTGTTCAGAAAAATATTAAAAGTTAGGCATTTAAATAAGAAAACACTGGCTCTTGCTAAAGCTCGTTTCTTTTCCATTTATGTGCATGATGCAGATCAGTATATTAAGTGGATTTGTTTTCCCAATTTCGTACTGTATTCTACAATTCTGGATTTTCATAAAATCAAATTGCAAATAAAAACGCCTGCTTTTATTCAAGAGGATAGGCACAGGTGGTAGCACTGTTCTCAGTTGTATATCAGATGTACAAAGCATATGAATACAGTGTCAGCTCACCACATACGGTACGGAAAGCACCTTTTCTCTCCCTAATAGTAGAGCAAATACTTGCATGAGATTTTAATGCCAACCACCATAATATCTAGTTACTTTATCTGTGCAGTTAGCCAGTCTTTATCAATTAAGCAACAGTGGGGAAAAACAGCCGTGTTATTTGTTAGGCTCAAACCCAAGCAGTCCTTAGATTTTATGCATCATTTTACTGTATGCTCTACCTAACGTGAAAACCCCCCCCCCCTTTTTTTTAAATGAGCTGATCTAACATTTTATACCTTTATTATGGGAGTTTCATTATTCTTAGGCTCTTATGGTACAATAGTAGATTTAGAAAACGGAAAGACAAACTGCAGGAGTCAGGGTACTCACTTGACTGCGGCAAATGGACAGGAGCAAAGATGCTATTGTTACCTAATAAAATGAAAAATGGATCAAAAAATAAATTTTGCCACCAAAACAGTGTTCCCCCTCCCTTCATCTGTTTATAAAACACCCCAAAGACCAGTATGTACTGGCGTGCATCTTTAAAATATCTCTGATGTGCTATCAAATCTATTGTTGAAACAAGGTACATTCTACTATGTAAATATTTTGAGGCCAAAAACGTTGAAAGGTATTGTTGAAGAATATATGGCTTTTTAAACAATATTAATAAAATGTTATAGTTAAGAATATACTGAATACTAGAAACGTAGGAAATTACAACTGAATTTTGACACCAACATAAACCACCCTAGTCACCTTTTACCTACAGGCTGGAGAGCCCTCACTATTTGCCACGTGAAACACAAGTCTGTCATGTAATCAATCCCCTTTCTGGTGTTTAGTTTTATGGTGATATGTGAACATAACTCTTATCCTTCCATTCCAGCCCATGCAATATGTACTGAGAGGGTATCACAGGGTGGTTGTTGTATCCTTTGGATCCTGGCACCCAAATCTATCAACAGGTGAACAAGTGTGAATGGTCAACTGCCCACTGACAACGCAACACAGAGCGACCAGATTGAGAGGGGAGAGGAAATTCCGAGGGTGGACTTCATTCCAGCACAGATGACAAACACACAACCTATGCATTACTTAAAAGCCCTACTTTAACCCTCAAAATAAGGCTTAAGGGGTGCATACGCCATATGCTGACCTTCTGTGTAGGAGTTAATTTCACCTGACTGCACTTCAGCCTCATCAGGTAGTCATAGGACTGAACTGAATGGGCCAGTAGCATTCTCCGAGAGACAACCACTTCCGCGGCTGTGCGTGGGACAGCTGTTTTAAGAGGGGGGAGGAAAGGGCACAGAGTTCAAGTTCTTTTGTGAACAACATTAGATGCTGACTTCCATTACGTACTTCGTGCATAGCTTCTATGGGCAAGGAGTGCAGTAGAAACACAGTTAGCTCAACAGTGCTGATGAAGTAGATACAAGCTCTGCTGGCTGAGCTTGTAACTTCCATGAACACTCACGTGTCATTTGTGGGAGAAAGGGCAAACATTACAGGCCTGTGTTTGGAACAAGTTTCCCAAGCATAACCTCAGCAGCTGGCAACCACCGTATACCATTTCAGGCCTCTCTGAAGCTTTAAGGACCCATCATCCTGTGCCACTCCCAGCAGTAACAGACTCAGCTGAAAAGGTGCTCATGGGTTTCAACTTTTTAGTGGAACTCAGGGTTGCTCTATTTTCTCAATTGTCCCCATCCTTTCTCTCAAGAAAGCCTTCCAATTTATTTCCAAAGTGGCTTTATATCCCATCACTATCAAAATCCAGTACATTAGAGTTTCTTCTACAAATGAGACTTGCTTTGGCATTGTAATAAAGATGATGTGCCATATTAAATAGCAGAACATTCTTGTTGGTGCCCCTTCTTTCAACACCAGCATCCCTTGTGACACCAGTGTCACCCCTCTGCCAAACAGTACTAGATACCTGGATATATCCAAGGAGAAGTAATCAGTAACACAGAGTCTGGATATAACTTGTGTTACACACACACACTCCTTGCTTGGCTTCCAAGAAGCAACTATGCCTCAAGAACTGACCCTATCAAGCCCCAGGCAAAGAGCAAACTCTCCTGTTACTTGTACAGCTCCCTCTATACAGGACCTTGTAAAAACCAAGAACTAACACCATCATGTGCATTTTTTCCAGGACTAAAGGCTTGCATGCAACTAGAAAAAGAACACAGAAAGAAGACTACATTTAATAGCACCACCTGGTATCACCTGCCATAACAAAACATTTTTTTTAAGGAACAACAAGAGCCTATGCAGAGGTGAGGTGGAACAGGAAATGAAAAAAACAGGTAAATATAAAATATATTATATACATACCATAAGAACTGTTGAGATCAATATCTAAAAATACACTAAGTTCTGAAGAGGCAGACACTGGTGGAGTAGATGGCGTATTCGGAGAAGTTGGGGCCGATGCTGCTGACTCATGCTCTGCTTCAGTAATTCTACTGAAACTTATTTTACATGGTTCCCTTTCCAGTGGCGTTGGGTGACCTCGCAAGGTTCCAGAGGTGGAACCATGTCTGCCAGTATTGGGCCTTATTCCAGGAGATTTTAGAGGGTATGTTGTTTTCCTAGGCTAAAGGAAGTAATCATGATTAATATTACTAGTATTTAGTACAGTAAACTAACAGTAAAAATGCCAACCCACTATCTGACATCGGAAAAAACAAACAAAGAAGGAATTGAGTACACAACTCTGAACAAAAATCGTAATTTTGTTTAATGGTAGGTGATTTTTATAACGGGTCTAAGTTTATAACGGATCTGTCAGTGTTTATTACAAACTACTCTTTATGGGGTTTTAATAAAATTGTGAAAATTTGCTCCGCTCAAGAAATCTCTCTTTCAATAATTCTAAAGAATTGTTAGTCTGGAGTTTCAGGTGTGTGTCGATCAGGACAAACCATGGGAGTCAGCAAGTGGTGTCCCAGGGGAGCTCTTTTGCAGACTGTAGTCAGAAGGAGCCAGAGTACAGAGGCAGTCAAATCACCTCACAATAAGGGTGACGTGACAATCCTATTGCTTCTACTGTAGAAATTCACCAGGCCCACATGCATAGATCCAAGAGTCGGAATCCCATGAGATAGGAATCTTTGAATAAGAATAGTTTTTTCTTTATTTTTATAAACTATGGTATCTGATTTAGTCTCTGGTATCTGATTTAGTCTGTATACAATTCTTACCCATAAGAGTGACAGGTGCGGCTGATATGACATTGCAGTCAAAAGAAGCATGAATTAATCTGAATTGCACTTTATAATTCTAATACAGCACAGATAAACATTGATTATCTGAAAGGTACCTATGTTCTTATATCACATCCACCAGGGTGGTATCAGAGTGCCTCCAGAACACTCGGCTAACAGGAATTTCAGTTAAACAAAACTCAATTCTACAAGAAATGGAGGTTACTGACTTGTAACTGAAGGTTCTTCAAGATGTGCGTTTCTAGTGTGCCTGAGATCAGAGATTGATAGCAAGTCGTGTCCGTACCCACACAGCTGTTCTCCTTGTGCTCCAACTGAAGGTATAGGAGGCGGGACGGACAGATTCTTCTTCAATTCCTCTCTTACCACCAATCAGAAGAATTTGAAGAAGATGGAAAGAAGGGTAGGGTCATGGAATAGAGACAGGGATCCCACATCACCAGTTACAGGTCAGTATACTTTTGACTTTGAGTGCTGGTCCCTATGTGTATTCCACATGTGATTGATAAGCAGTAGTTAAACAGGAGGGGTCGGGGATGCAGTAGGTATAGATGGTTGTAATACTGCAGTTCCACCAGATACATCTACAGAGGAGGCTTGAACTAACGCATAATGTTTCATGAATGTATAGCCACTCTACAGATGTTCCATATAATACACCTCTCAAAGAGATGCTGCTGTGGTTGCCTGTGCTCTAGTGGAATGGGCAGTCACCTCATCTGGAGGAGGAATAGAATGATGCAGCTGGAGATTCACTCAGTCTCTGAGCAGATAACGTCTGCCCTGATGACTGTTCTGCTACAGCAACAGATAAGCTTGATGATTTTCTAATCGATTTCACCCTTTGCAGGTAGAACACCAGCGCTCATCTGGTGTCCAGAGTGTGAAGTCTTCTCTCCTCGCTGGAAGCAAACACTTTGGGGAACAATACCAGTAAGTGGATAGGTTGATTTATGTGAAACTCAAATTACTTTTGGGACAAATTTTGGGTGAAGGTGAAGGAAAATGAAGTGTCCTACTGGAGGATGGAAGGCACTGATTGCTGCTAGATGAACTGCAGGGGAACTAATAAAAAGCCCTGAAGTTTTCAGTGACAGGATAACCCTGATGTTTTGGACTATCTGCAGATTCTGGAGGACCAATTACATTGTGCCCAGGAAGAGAAACTTCCATTTAGCCAAATAACATGTTCTGCTGTACTCTTTCCTGCTTTGGTTGAGAATAAACAACAATCTCCAAGCATGAACATTCTAGATCTGATGCTCATCCAAATATCAGGCTGTAAGGTGAAGGGGCCCTGGGTTGGGATACTTGTTGTTGCTGTTCTTCCGAGGTAGTAGATATGTGAAGAGTTGGATGCTGATGAGAATATAGGTTGACAGTCACAGAAACAAGAAATGTCCAGAGCCTCCAAACTCCTCCAAAGACAGTGCCAGTTCTTGTTCAAATAGCAGAGCTATCGGAACCAGTGGGTGAAAGCTCCTGCCTATGGACTGAGGAGGGGAACGTTCCCATCTCCTCAAGGTAGTTTCCTTCTATGTTCACATTTTTCATGTTCTTTTTTGAACAGACTATGAATAAGAAAAGGTGAAGATATCCTCCCATGAAGTGTAAGTTTAGGTTCGTCTCAAGAGTCTGGGGCAATCCAGTAATTGGGACCGATGAATCCAGCGCAACCACAGTCGTCATGGACAGCAGGTCGGGAACACCAAAGTGTCTACTTAGGAGCTCTTAAATGGGATTGGCAGGTGCCAATCCTTATGCTTATGAATTGGCATTGATGTCAGTACCAGCAGATCCTCTCTCTTTTGTGCCTTGCCCTCATGATCAGAAAGTTTAAGTGAGCTTAAATCTTTAAGAACTGTGTGTGAGGACACACTGGACTTGGACAGAGTCAGGAAAGGATCACTTCTCTCAGAAAAAGACCTGGAAGAAAATCTGTCCTTATGCTTAGAGTGCCCCTGACTCTCATGAGAAGCCCTGTATGGCGACTCCTTGGGCTCAGCAGTTCTGGCTTCCTCTCCTGGGCTTGTGCTTGTTGGGACACTGCTCATTGGTTGAGGCCAATGTACAGGTGGGTCCCCCTGTCCTGGATCAGACGGAGGTCTCATAACATCTTACAGAAAAGGTTTTCTCAGACAGAGCTCTCGTCTCATGGTTTTGAAGGAAAATGAGCTGCAAATACTGCATTTAGCTAAGACATGTGCCTCTCCCATATAATAGAGGCAGTGTTGGTGCTCATTGCTCACAGAGAAGGAGCGGGGGGGAGTGAAGGGGAGGAGATGCAGTTCTTAAACTCAAGACTCTGGGCATAATCTTTGTCCATGGGAAGAGACTCCCTGAGGTGGGGAGAAAGTATGTTATCAAATACATCAAGATTAAAACTAACTACCCTAAATACTAAAAGCTATTTATAATATATTTACAGCTTTGAAGAAGAAAGAAGCATGAAGAAAATCTATGGACAATGAGGATTCAGACTCAGGCCATGTGACGGTAAGAAGGAACTGGAGTGGTGGCAGTCTGCACTGCCCCTTACATCCTCATCTGGAGCACAAGGAGAACAACTGAGCAAAACTCTCCAATCTCAAGCACATGGTGCACATACATGTGGAATATCTACAGGGACCATGATTTTAAGGAGGCATTACTTTAGCAGCACTTCATCTGATTCTCTTGGTAGAGGAGGAGTATAACCTTAATCACCCTTAAGACACAAAAACTGTTAACTGCTTTATGGTTCTCTTACCCCAAGAATAAGAAAAAGGCACTCCTGATTTGCCAAGAGTTATAGCAAAGATAATGACATAATAGTAAGTTTTCTATGAGGCAAAATATCGTGAAAATCACTTTATGCTTCAGCAGCTGTTATTTTAAAAATAAAATGTTAATTAAAATGACAAACTAATCAACACTATCTGGCTTCACAAGAAGATGGTACCTCATTTTAAAATTTTGTTGTATATTTCAGTTCAGCACGGAAGTGAAGAGAATTTCCATTTAGCTCTGAACGTGAAGTTTATTTTTGAAAATATTCCTCTGAATGTCAGAGAAAAATACCAATTAACATTTATTTCAAAATGCTTTTACAAAGGTCTCCATTTTATTTTATGCAGGTTTTTCCACATTCTGTAATTAAAATCATTTCACAATGCTATCAAGCCATTTTACAAGTTCTGAAGAGAAGAACTACACTGCATAAAATCAAACTTTTAAAGCTATTCTTTCCAAGATTTTATTGTAAAACACAATTTGCCTATAAAGCCAAAAGAGGTATATTTTTAGGAACTAAAATAACTCTCAAACTAAAAAACCAACAGTTTTGGAATAAAAAGTCTTGTGACAAAAACTCAAGAAACATCTATAATTTCAAAGGAAGTAAATACACATTATTAATAGTACTATTCATATTTATTAAAGTATCAGTGGATTTAAAATACTTAAAACAAATTACAAGAAAAAGACTTACAAATCTAGGTGGCTGCTTGCAGTTTCGAGGTTCAATTTCTAATGATTTGTTGAACAAGTAGTCTGTAAACTCTTTTTCTGGTGCATTTCCCATAGGATTGAGATTTTCAAAGAACCGCTAAAATGAGGTAAACAAGTTTCAATAAATAATTTTATATGCTCTTAACAACATATGCATATATAGAAAATACAAAACTGTTCAATGAAATCTGAACATTTCACTGGCTACATGCAGCTTTTATACTACTGTTAATTCATTCCTGGAAAAATACAGCAGCAAGTCCTGATGCAAATGACAGTAAAAAACATACATTACAAGTTAACGATAATTAGGCTTGAAAGGATTAGATTTTTACCAGTAAATGTCAATTTCAGTGTACACACACAAACCAACAAAAAAAAATTTCCATTGATGATAATCAAAATTTATGGACAGGCAGAGTAAGAAAAATGCTGCTTGAAAACTTAAGAGTTTGATTTAAGGATATTTATTTTGTACATTTTGACATGTAATATTGACAATTTGTTTTAAGGGTTATAAACCTTTTAACTTTTTGAATCTCAGCAGCTATTACATAAATTTTGTCTGACCTCACCTATTCTGACACTCCACCCATATTTTCCTGCAACTGTGAAAATTTAAATAGATAAAAGTCTAAAAAATTGCTTAAAATAAACATCAATATTATCTGTCAAAATTATAAAAATTGAATCCTGCCTAGTCTAATGATAATGTAAAATTTACTGACTAGAGGAATTATTTTAAATCACATGAAAAGAGCTATTTTAAATGCAACAATATTCTGTAAAATGCTTTGTAGTTATGTACATGATTTACCAAGTATCTCAATGCAGTCATCAAGATCTTCCAGTTCCTTCATTTTCAAACAAACATTCTTTTTTTACCGACATCAATACTTATAACCTATTACTTACGATTATTGTATTTCTGTCTTTTCTTGATTTGTTTTCAAAGTATTCCAATGCTCCTCTTCGTAATTTTAAAATTATATCACTTAACCCTTTTCCAGAATTGTTCTCAATAATGAACAGCACAATACAAAGAACGCTGTTACTCAGCTACAGTTTCAGAGTGACCAGAACTGTACACATTATTTCAGGTGAGAGCATATCGTTGATTTAAAGAATGGCATTTTGGTATTTTCAGTACTGTTCTCATTTTTTATGCAGCCTGTGTTGCTTCTTTGACTGGTGCTGTAAACTGAGCAGACATTTATTGAATTGTCCACAAAACAGCCCAGGAGGTTACAATTAATTAACTGAGTGGTTACAGTTACTTAACAACCCATCACTGAGTATAAGTAGTTTAAATTATTCCTTCCAACGAGCATTCCCTTCCATTTGCCAACAATAATTTAATCTGGCATCACATGGCCCATTCACCTTGCTTTAAGTCTTTCTGGAGTTCTTCAATATTCTCGAGTGTGAGCCTAATCTAATTCTGTGTCATCTGCAAATTGTGCCACTTAACTGTTCACCCCCTTTACAATTCATTAATATATTAAACACTGGTCGTAGTGAAGAACCTAGAGAAAACCACTGTTTACCTTCTGCCACGTTGAAAGATGACCATTTATTCCTACTCATTGTTTTCTTTCGTTTACTTTCAAATCCGTAACTGCTTGCCCTATGACTATTTAACTTCCTTAGTAGCCTCTTGTCAGAAACCTTGTCAAAGGAGTTTTGGATTAATTGGATACATACAAAGGATTCTAATATATCAGAGCAGCACACTTTTTCTTCACAGAAACTGTTAAGTTTCTCATCATATGTTCATGTTGGTTTAGAACTCTTTTCTTCCTCTTGCTCTAATCCTATTCACTCCGCTCCAGCTAGTGAAGTACTGTATAGCAACGGCAAAACCAAGAAGTATCTGTTGTATAATAGTGAGCAGATGAGATATATGTGATGAACTATATTAAGGATTTAGAATTAATGTATGCTTTGACGCACACTCTTTTCTTTACCAATGATGGTTATTGCACTATTAAGGCAGTCATCCCCACATCTACTAGCACCCCAGCGAGAATATCAGTAGAGTATCTGCCACCGTTTTTTTATCATATGAATACACATACATGCGCACACATACATAAAGTATACGCCTATTGTATTTGTTCTTTGATTACCCGTATTTCTGGTTCTATCCGTAAACAGTAAGGTTGGTTTTGATACTGCTGAATTTCGCCTGTAATTTCAGCCACTTTTCTCCTCTTACTGAAGTTGATTAACTCTTTCCCTTGTCTTTTAAGAAAGTCTGGATTCCCTTCTTCTGTCTTCAGAATATTTGTTAGGTAGATTCCTAATATATATATAAAAAAAGAATTTTGATTTTCACATTTCACCAACTCCTGTTTTCATTTTTTCTGATAAATGCCAGCAAAGAAATCCTCAGCATAAAAAGAGAGCAAACCATTTATTTCAATGCACCAATACTAAATTAATCAGAAGGAGCAAATGAGCTATGCATTCTCTCTGAAAACTAAATATATTATAGAGGGAACAAGTTTTATCTGCTTATACTGAGGTCATGGTCGGGAGGTCACATTCCAACAAGACTCCTCAGCATGCTTAGGTCATCCAGAAAGGAACAGTGTCAAGAATGTGAGATAAAATTAAAGTTTAAGAGAAACCCTATTTTATTTTCATTGGAACTTGAGTCTGCATACAACAGCAATATCCATGGACTTGCTAAAACTGGAAGAAAACCAAATTTATAGAAAATATATTGCAAAGGAATATTAAGGCTTCTGAGCCAAATAACTAGCAAAAAGAGCAGTTATCGCAGCCTCTACAAAATTGTTCTTGAAAGCGCAAGAATTTTATAGTGTACCAAGAGAACAAAATCATCTACACAAACACCGTGTAACAGAGGTTACTGAATTTAACTATTCACAAACACGAATGTTAAAAATCGAATCAATCCGAAGTTATGCATAGCACAAGGGCAATTCTTCAGAGTATAGCATGTAATACCTTAAAAAAAACTCAATGCATTTTCAGCATCTTAATTTGCTGCTCATTTTAATGTTAAAAGAAAGCCAACGTAAGAACCTTATCTCCAACCCTGTAGTATAACTTACCAAAGAAAGGCACGCAGGGTGGGTTGATTGACTTGAGTTTAGCTAGGTACTTCTTAAAGTGATCTTGACTTAGTTCTACTGCTTCATCCAAAACTTTCTTTTTTCTCTCCTGTAATGCCTAATTTATTGAAGAGAAAACAAAGGAAGAGTGTGTCTTTTGCACGGTTTGGTTAGTGAAAATAAGGTACCTTCATATTTATATCATCTATCTATAAATTAACAAAACCTTGTTTCTCACAATATTTGAATTTAAGTGTGATTTAAAATGGTTTCCAATGTACTACTACGTCAACTGTCCCTGACTCTATGGCTTAAAACTTGCCGATGAAGCCCCCAGTGTAGACGCAGCTATGCTGACAAAAGGGGGCTTCTGCCAACATAGCTAATGTCTACCAGCAAAAAAAAAATTCTGTCAGCATATGCTGCTTCTGTACCAGGGGACTTAACCAGCATAAGCTCTGTAGTATAGACATAGCCCTAAGATGCATCACATGGAAATGTCAAACTACTGTAAATACAGACAATTATTTTCACTTTAATCAATTTACAAAAATAATCCCAAGTGTTTTAAGTACACCTCTATCCCGATATAACGCGACCCGATATAACACGAATTCGGATATAATGCGGTAAAGCAGCGCTCCGGAGGGCGGGGCTGCGTGCTCCGGTGGGCGGGGCTGCGCGCTCCGGTGGATCAAAGCAAGTTCGATATAACGCGGTTTCACCTATAACGCGGTAAGATTTTTTGGCTCCCAAGGACAGCGTTATATCGGGGTAGAGGTGTATGATTTATTTCAAATCTAAACAAATCAAACTTAGTTATCAGCATCTAGCACTGATACTAGTAAAAATATTTTTCTACATACAACACGAACTCCATCCTTCTGTGCAAAACTGTCTTCTGAACTTCAATAGTCTACTTCAGTGGAATTTATTAGTTTACTGCACACTCATTTTCAGTGAAAAGGTAACCAATTTACACTTTTTCTTCCTAAACTCACCAATGTCCCCCAATGTTTAAACTTCTTTCTCGAGAATCTGCTAAAACTGGCCTCAGATTCTTTTACACTCACTCTGACCAAGATACAGGAAAGCATCCCCATTTGGGAAAGCAAAGCTTAAAAAAAAAAAAATTCTTTGATAGCAATGTTCTTAAGCACGTGCTTAAGTTCTTTCCTGAGCATTAAACTCTCTGTAAACGTCCAAACCTATGCATGGATCTTCTCTGGTCGGCGAAAGAAGAAAGGGGTCACCTGCATCTCTCACAGTTTCTCTTCCCTATCCCTAAGCTGGAATTCTGCAGCTCCCAGATAGAGTTCAAGGTACAGTAGAAGTTTTTAACCGGTATGCCGGGGAAACGGGGGGTGCCAGTTAACTCAGAGGGAGGTCTTTGGAGTGCGGGGGGATGCGGGTGGAGTGTGGGGCAGGGGTGTGGTAAGGGCTGTGGGACACAGGCTCTGGGAGGGAGGGAATTTGGGTCCGGGAGGGGGCTTGAGGCTGGGGCTTGTGGTGCTGGATCCGGCGGCTCCTCGTCCCTGCTGCTTCTGGCAGAGGCGCGGCCAGGCAGATCTGCAAGCACACGCTGCCTCTGTCTACAGGTGCTGCTCCCCACAGCTCCCGTTGGCCATGGTTCCTGAGCTCCCAGCAGGAGGCGGCAGGGGAAACCCCTGAGCTCCCTGCCACCCGGGACAGCGTGGGAACCCCCCAGCTCCTAGTGGGTGGCAGCAGCAAACCCCCAGCTCCCTGCCATTGGGGGTGGCGCTGCGGGGGAACCCCGATCTCCCAGCGGGAGGCAGCGGCGGAACCCTCCCCCCAGCTCCCTGCCCCCAGGGGCGGTGGTGGGGGAACCCACCAAGCTCCATGCTGCCCCGGGCAGCAGGGGACAGCACCGCGGGGAACCCCGAGCTCCTAGTGGAAGGCAGCGGGGGATCCCGAGCTCCGGGCTGCCGGGGGTGGCAGGGACCCCCTGAGCTCCCTGCTGCTGTGGCAGCTCCTGGTCCCCTTGGGTTGCAGGGAACCCCGAGCTCCCAGCCCCCGCAGGCAGCAAGAGATGCCTGGAACTGCAGGTGGCACCCTGCAGCTGCCCTGCTTGAAGTAGTATGGGGATCCGCAGATCCCCATTTTGTCAGGGACAGGTCACGGCATCCGTGAATTTTTCTGTTTTGCCCATGACCTGTCCATGACTTCTACTAAAAGTATCTGTGCCAAAATCTCAGGCCTTGGCTACACTTGCAGCTGTACAGCGCTGTGAGGTAAACCTGTCTTCGTACAGCTGAGTAGGGAAAAGCGCCGCAGTCTGTCCACACTGACAGCTGCCAGCGCAGTGGTGTGGCCACACTTGCCACATTTGCAGCTGTGTTGGGAGCGGTGCATTATGGGCCGCTATCCCAGCATTCATGTGGCTAAAACGTGCTTTTCAAAACGGGGGTGGGGTGGATTGTGACAGGGAGTGTGGGGGGAGAGAGAGTGCTTTTTGGAGCATTTCAGCTCTCTATTTTGCAAGTTCCAAACTCCTGGCCCCCTGCTCATTCATTCACTCACTCAAAGCAAGCTACAAACTGTTTGCTTTTCTCTGTGGTACGAGCTTTGAAACCGGCACTTCCGCATTCCTGCAGCCGGTCACAACAATGGAGAGGATTGGCCAGGGCCGGCTCCAGGCACCAGCCAACCAAGCACGTGCTTGGGGCGGCCCCGGTAAGGGGCGGCCAATCTTGGGGGTGGCGGGGCGCTCAGGGTTTTTTTGGGGGGGGG